GGGCAGCCCCGTGGTTCCTGCCCCAGTGCCTCCTCCCTGCACTGCTCAGCGCAGCCCAGTCGGAAAGGGATGGCAATGGGAATCTGCTCTCACACGGCAGCAAATAGCCCTAGCCAGCCCGGGAGACAGTGCATGGGAAGGTGACCAGGCCCACGGGAGCTTTACGTGCCCCAGACTCTCCACATATTTCCAGAACTGGAGCTGGGAAGTGTCTCTTCAGAACACAGACCAAATAAGCAAGAGCAGGGCCACGATGGGATCTGTGGAGCGCCCTCGAGCCCAGGACCCGGGTTAGCTCACAAGGACCGTGCCATCAAACCCGCAGGTCTAGCACGTCTCGCAAAGACTCACCCCGGCCACAGGAGGAGGGCAAGATTCACCCACCCGGGAGCCGCAGCACCCAGCACTGAGCTACCCGCAGCCTGCACGGGAAGGCGCCCGACACCCTCCCTGGAAAACGCTGCCGACCTGCTGCGAGGCGTCACGCCAAGCTCCTGCTCCGGCCACTCGAGGGCTTCTGCTGCCGCCTGAACCTCCATGCCATCTCCTACAGCGGAAAAGCAAATTAGCTCATTAAATAACATGCGTAAGAGCATCACAAAAGTGCACAAGCTGATTTCAAAAAGCTGCCTGGAGATTTTCAGTTGTCTCTGTGGAGCCTGGTTAAAGGAGGGAGCATTTCCACCAATCTTCCCAGAATTTTAAGGCTAGGAAGCGGCCTCCTTCCGCCTCACTCCCACACACAGTTCCCTGCAGCTGCAGTGATCTCCCAGGCAGCAGTCACAGGCCCTTTGCCCCTTGCACCGTCACTGATCTTCCCTTTTGAGCGAGCCTTCGTAAGCAGGTTAAGGCCACCCGTCTGCTTTGCATGCAGTTACTGCAGGTACAAGAGAATGATTGAGACTGGACACAAGCGGAACCGGAGTCGTGCGAAGGGCCGCTGGGCTCCGTCCCGCGCTAACAAACCCGCTTTCGCCAGCCCCCGTTTGCGCTCGGAGCCAAGGGCCTTGGCGCGTTACCGGCTGCTCGAGTCAAAGGGAACCTTTTACTTCTTGTTCGACGTTGGCCGCGTGGAGTACGAGACCCTGTTTACTGCAGAGCTGAAGCCCGGGGAGCTCGGGAGGAAACCGCAGGCAAAGCCCCAGCTCTTCATTTGCATGTTCGACGGCAGCGTTTCTCGGCCGACGAGCAGCTGCTGTCCTGCCTCCGGCTCCGGGATTTCCAGGCTCTCCGCTCCGTTCCAAGGGGATTCGCCAGCCCCACGCGGTCACGAAAACACTGCAACAGGCAGCCCTCTCCAGCCAGGCTTCCCACCTCCTGGGAACCCCGGCCACAAAGCAACAGACAATCCCAGAATTGCTATTTTTGAAAAGTGTTTACTCACATCGTTTGAATAAATTAATTTGCAAATAAAAATTAAACTACAGTATAATATAGTCGGAATAAAATGATTAGAACAACTACAATACAGGGGTTTCTTGCTGCATAAGTTTCATTACTTAATGCATATAATCTGCAAAATGTCAAAATCAGTTATATTTCTATGAAAAGGGAGTAACAGCAGTTACTTGTACGTGACAGCTAACTGAACTTATAATACAGGTTTCCTGACACATGCATTTCCTGAGTGAACCAAACAATATATATAATTTTTTTTAAATGGAGAAACAATTGACAAAGTAAATAATTCATGACATCTAAGCAACACAGGTCTCTCTAAACCAGGAGAAGTTTAAAACAGCTTTGAAAAGAAAAATTAAAGCTATGCTCTAAGTACAGAAATTTGCTACCGCCAATTATACAGTACATAACTGGGGGAAAAATAAAACAAACAACAAAAGAACAGTATGAGGCTGTCTAAAGTATGTTCAGCTCGATGCTAAGACCACCAGGTTGTGCATTTGCCATGGAGCAAGTAGCAGCAGAGCTGGACGCAGCGCGCTGGCCTGGGCGGCGGGCGCCGGACGCCCGGCCCGAGGCCACGGCCGACGGGCTGCCGGGGGGCACGCGGAACACGGGGACAGGTCCCCTTTGGGGCTGCTTCTCGGGCAGCTCCTGCTCCCCACGCAAGCGCCTCCTCTCCCCGCGCACCGCGGGGAACTAAGGAGCTTCTCTTCCAGGCTCGCCAATGTGTAAGGTGGAAAACCCCCTCGGAAACGTTACTAATGTTAAATAAAGACACGTGTTAGCATGAAGGGAGGAAAAATCCTTAATCTAGACTAAGTTGCATATTCAAGGAGTCTGGTAAATATTTTCTCATAACCAGATCTCAAGTACGGTCCTACCAAAAGACATTTTAAGAAGTCCTCCTTAGCTACCTTTCACATGGTTAAAGCACATCTTTATGCCATCATAACTTGCATTAGCTTTGTTTAAAAAGCATTTTAGCTAGTCTAAGAACTCAGTATTTTAGATTAAAAAAAGATTTTTCTACCGTTTCTGTCTCATATCCATCTCCATCCAGAACTACTCTACACATCCAGTTGTTGGATGCAACACACTATGACCATGCTATTCTAAATGTTCTACATATTTTCAATAATAAAGATAAATAGAAAAGAGTTAATATACATGTTATATTTTACAATGTTTGCATCCAAGCTGTAAACTAAGGTTCTTTGAACTATTTACCCTCCATATATAAAAAGAATGAAACAACTTTCAAACGTCATGGGCACATAATTCAAAACCATTAAACCGAAGGCATTGAATTTCACACAACGCTTCCTTTGCCTCTTCAGAAATGGTCATCACCTATAGAAGCAAGAGGGCCTTCCCTTCCCCCCCACCAAACTCTTGTTTCCAGGTAATTCTCGATAGGGAGGGATTTAGCTGTTGTAACAAAACCCCCCGAATTCTTCATCTTAATGCAAACCAGCAAAGCCCAGAGAATACGAAAGACAGTTTAAAAATCAGGATCGCTTAGCTTATCGGGTTACTGTAGTCCTTGCTGACACAAGTGTTAGTCAAGAGGTCCTTGGAAAATGAGTCTGATGTAACCTTGCTCACCAGCCAGCTGATGTGCGCAGAAGGGACAGGCTGCGTGAAATGTGTGAGTACCGTGAGGAAGAGGAATTTGGGACCAGTAGGCAGTTGTCTTTTCTGAGCACACATGTCCGCAGGGGCTGAACGCGTGAGTCGGAGGTCCCGCATCCACATAAAATCCCGCTTCACAGCCAAGCCACAGAGGCACGTAGGGACCGACGGAGCGGCACATGGGACACTCGCGATCCTTGCCATCTCTCTCCTCTTTGTTTCCCCAGTTGTGATAGCCGTGGACGTGGCCACAATTCAGGTAGACCCAGGGTTGCTTTTCGTCTACAACATCTTTCCTCTTCATGCTGGGAAACGCCAAGGTGTTAAATCCTACGGGGCACTGGGGTCTTGCTGCGTTTATTTCTTGCCTTAGAGCCTCCAGGTGCTTGACGGTGGGCGTGCGGGCAAGGCCTTCCGCTGTGCGCCACAGCAACGTCGCTCCACAGAGGTCAATTAAAGAGCCATCCTGGAGCTGGTTCGTTTCGTTCTCCACCTTTTGAAGGACGCGAGGGAGGCAAAGAGTGAGAGGTCACCCAGCAGCCACCTGAATAACACGCACCTGCCTGCAAGGTCTGCACCAAAAGTAGGAAGCACCTACTGTGCTGCTGGGAGTCCTGTACAACCTACCCATATAAAACCCGGTCTCAGCAACTCCCTCCATTTTTTAGTCCTGTTCTCTTAAAAAGAAAGTATTTCAATGCGCACATAAGATCAAGGCCACAAGAAGCTCCTGTGTACCCCTTATTTCCTTTTCTCCTTTTAACTCCTTCCCAAGGGTTGGCACAGAGTCAGCCTTTAGCCTTCATCATATTTTAACTGTTTCTTCACACATGTCTCTACACATGCACAACTAAGCCTCCTCCAGAAAGAAAAAGAGCAGCCACCAGCATTCCTAAGCAAATGCACCGCTTATTTAAATGCTTGCACTCTATTTTTTCAGTAAGAGATCTCAAATCATACAAGCTCAATCACCTTTCCTCGGAATATAGGCCTTGCTTTAAAAGTAAGGGGAAAACTCAGAACACAAGGTGGAAACGGATACCAGGTATAGAGATGTGGCCATAAAAGTGTAACTGTTCTTTACTATAGATTCCTCTAGATATAGATTTACTACAGTAATGGGAAAGATAAAAAAGCATAAGCTTAAGAGGCAGTGCCAGGCAAATAATCTTCAAGCACAGAACCATGCTGTGCTTCCCAGCCTGCAGAAGAACACACTGGACTAGACACTCACTGTAGGAGAACAGTCCAGATTCACAGTTAAGTACAAGTTTAGAGCCAAATTCTGCCAGTTATTCAGGTTGAGCAGCATGTATGAAGAGACCCACACAGAGGCAGCGCAACCAACTGTGGAGGCAGCCTGTGTGCAGAACGAAGCCCTTGTGTCCAGACCCAAGCTACAGGCTTACAGCTGGATCCACTCTAAAGGTGCTGCGTAAGATGTTGTTCGCGCTCTTACCATTTTCCCCCTCTGCTGAGCTGATCTGGTTTCACGGAGGCTGAACACGTTCCCGCACACAGATATCTCTCTCCACACCCCCGGCTTGGAGTCTTCAGTAAAGCCATTGCGGGGATGCATAACGAGAACTCCATTTGTGGTCAGCCCATCCATCTGCCCATCTGATGTCTTCCACTTTGCAGCTTTCTCCTGAGAGAAATGACATCCATGAAAATTTCAATTTGTCTGAAGTTGAATTACAAAACCGTTGAAGACTGAACCTGCATCAGCCTGGGAGAAGAAATTGTTCTCTTACCCCAAGAAAGATGTTTTTGGAGGAGTCAAATCCTGCAGCATATATTCTTGCTGTAAAAGGAGGGTTCCGCTCACATATGATTCTGCAAGCAAACCTTGATATAGTGCTCTGCACAGACTGTGTATCTGAATTGCTCTGACTTCCAGGAACTGTATCTGTCACCACAAAGTCTATAGGACTCTCTGTTGACCGGCCAATCTGGCAAGGAGTAAAGCCACAGTGTTAGAAATTTCACTTTTGGTGTGGAAACACTCAAAGACAAAATATTTAAGTGACCAAGATTAAAAAAAAAAAAAAAGACATAACACTTCAAAGCATCCTCCCCTCTAAATTTGGGGCTTTGAAGCTTATTTGGAATTGATGAGTTATTCCACCTCCAATTGACCAAACTTACTGTGAAGCTTAAGTACAACCAATCAAAGGAAGGAGAAAGTCTAAATTTGGGGCTTTGAAGCTTATTTTGAATTGATGAGTTATTTCACCTCCATTTGACCAAAGTTACTGTGAAGCTTAAGTACAATCAAAGGAAGGAGAAAAAGAGATAAATAAGCCAAATTCAGAAGGATTTTTCATTGAAAGTCAGAAAGGTTTGACTCAGGTCAGCTGCAGTGGCTGTAGCAGTGCCAAAACAGCTGAAAAACAGCAGTTAGATGGAAGAAATGTGGTGTTCAGTGACTTTGTAAGTGCAGAATATGCCGAACAATGCAGACTAGATGGATACACAGATGCAGACAACTGTCCACATCGTGGCCACTGACTCCCTGCCTCCAGTGGGGCTGGAAAGTTGCTAATCTGCCAGAAAAGACCAGGTATTGGATGCCTGTGGCAGAGAGTTTACGTGAGCTTTGCAGTCCCATACAGCTCTACCAATTTTAATAGAATTGCATGGAATCATATCCAAGCGTAACAGGAATTTTATCCTCAGCCAGGTTTAAAGCGCACTCATACAGGAGATCCTAACTCCAAATGCTTTTTGATAAAGGCTGGAGAGCTTTCAGGGAGGCTGAAACTCTGCTGGCAGAAGGTATTTTGCTCTGATTTCTTCGGCAGGATTATCATCAATACCCACGGGTTGCTACCGGCAAGTCGGGAGCCGCGCGCAGGCCGCAGCATGCCTGCAGAAACAACATCCCCGGCACAAACAGCAGCTCGTGCTGTGGTTACTTTGCTGCAGCCCTTTCGCTCTGCTGTAGGTAGGTAAGAAGCAGAGCAGCTCCCTCGACCACACACTAACACCCTCCTACCTTAGATCCTGCAACGTCGTCACGAATAAATGCTGTGACAGCAAAATCTCTTCTCATAAATGAGCAACAACAACAACAAAATCAATGCTAGATCAGTCCAGGTATGAGAATGAACAACTTGCTTAAAAACCTCCAAAATAAAACCCTTCCTTTTGAGAAAAAACAGGAAACAATTACAAGATATGAGTGTACAGCACAGCTGCAAACGTGTTTGCGGTTCCTTGTCATAAGCACAGGAACTGCAAGGTTCTTCTGAATCAACAGCACATCAGAATGGGGCCTCCTCTTTCAACATTTCCCAGCACTTCAGACATTTTAAAGATTCAGTGCCTATTTTTCATATTAGTTGTGATAAAAGCTATTTTCTAAAACTACTTTGCATTTCTACCCCACCTCCTACTCACTGATTCCAAATGCCTCCATAAGCACTTGTAACTCGGATGCCAGCATTTAAGTGTACTGTGCAATTTATTCCTCATTTTGCAAGAGGGGAATAGAGACAGGTTAAGTGACTTGCACCGTAGCAATCAAAGGCAGAACCATAATTGTGTGCATTAGTCACAAAAACAACTTTCACCTCTAACCAGAGAAGCCTAAAGGAGATGCATTGATACAGAGTTGAATTCATGTAATGGCCTTGGGAATTAACAGAATTAAATGTCTCTAAATAGCAAAGTGCAGAAAGTGTCAATTTCTGCAAATCTTCAAGTGGCAAATCTTGAAGTCTCAAGAAAAAAAGCCTGTTGAGAGGATGTCAACAAATTAGCATGGACAATACATTTATATAATAGTGTTTACTTGCCATACCTGGAACATATCTGTGTTGCTGTCATGTGTATATTCAACTACTACTGTCTGGGCCCGAGAGAGAGTGTAAGAGATGCTGTGTTGGTCCTTGTTACTTATTGCCTGTGGAGAAACACCAGATATTACTGGACACATTAACAACAATGTGTTGAACAGAGCAGCAAAGCAGACAACATAACCAGGCTCTTGCTATGCTCAATTAATGCATTAAGTCAGATGCTTGTTAGCGACACACCTGCACTTAAAACTTCACCCAAACCAGTCCTGCCCATTAAGGAAAGCTGCAGGATTGATTCAGCAACAGACCAAACTGGTCTCTTTACCACACACTGCAACAAAACACACGTAACCAAGACAGGTATTAGTCACGCTTAGCATTAAAGCAGTGTTTGCCTCGACTCAAAACATGAACAGAACAACTGAAACTGAACGCAACCACCTTTGTGGCCTTGTTGGCCTCAGCGCCTGCAATAGTAAAGCGAGGACAAAGACTTTAATATACTCCCTTCTAGAGAAGGGATCTGAATTGTTACCAAAAAACAGCCATGGTTAATAAGCTATGTGGACAAAACATAACAAGCATTGTCAGGGAAGCAGAAAAAGCAAACTCAGAGTACGAGAAAAAAAAATTAAATTACAGTTTATTAGGCTAGATTAAATTACAGTTTAGTTTATTAGGCTGGATTTTAATTTTGGAGATTTGGGCTGTACTTCAAATGGGAAATCCACACAGGAAACTACTTGCTAGTAATCAAGTAAAACTTCTATTATAAAATGCTTCTAAATAGCACTTGTCACTTGCAGGCCTAAAGAATTAGCAAAAATAATTTCTTTTGACAGAACTCCTAAAAAATGTAATTCTATCTCAGTCACTTCAGTTAGCTACAGTCTTTTAATTTCAGAGTATTTTATGCCATTCTTTAATTCTTAAGAATCAATATTCCTAAATGTCAAGGTATTCAGAGAGTCAAAGACTTAGCAGCATGGTTATTTGTTCAAGGACCTGATCTCAATCATACTAAAGAGCTCTAAATAACCCCTAAGCACTCTCAAATTCCCACAGTTTTTGCAAGGGTATTTTGGTAGCAACACTCCATTTCCATGCCCTGGAACACCACAACACAGCGGGAATTATCTTCTGGAAAAGGAGCTCTCTGGAGAGCCTCCATCCATTTCGGTTCATGCAGAGCTTTGGTGCAGGGACCAGTTGCACATGAACGAGTCAAAACAGGAAGTCGCAAATAACTTTATTTGCAGTGAGATTGGAAGAAGAATTAAATTGAAAGTGTTTTACATGACTAGCCTATGGCCTGAACATTCATGGGTTAGAAACAAACATCCTTTCTTTCTGGACACAGCAAGGACTGGGTACCAGACTTGTTTCGCCAGATGATTTCCTCTAACCCTGATAAGCATAAAAATCTGGGATATATGTTGATACTTATAAAAAAAGGGATATATACTTATAAAAAAAGGGATATATACTTATATACAGAAAAAAAATGGGAGATGTACATATACACCAAGTTCATACAGGTGTATGAACCTTTCTTTTCACAGCTAGAAGGCTTGCTACTTTGCACATCATTTCACCTTCGCATAATAGTGCTCATTTCACTGAATTCTTTAAACTGCACTAGAGACTAGACTTAACTAGACAAGTCAAGCTTACCTTTGCTGCTTGAGGGGTACAGGCAATGTGCACAGTGCTAGGTTTCACCCCGTTTGCCTTGGGTCTTTTAAATAAAGCAAATCTACTTTTTCTTCTTCCTCTATCTCCATTTGGGAGAGACCCATTGTACCTACGGAAAGGATATAAAAAAAAATGAAATCTATTTTCAAATGGACTTCACTGCAAGTCTGCAGCTTCTCACAAGCTGCAAGAAGTTCTGTTCCAAGCACAAAGCTTCCTTATTTAGAAGGCTATTGAAAAATTAGATTTCCGATTACATTTTAATCTGAGAATTGGTAAACAATGTTAGAACGTGCCCAGAGAATTACTACATATACTCAAAGCTTGGGGAATAGGCAGTACCCAGATGAATCTCAAGGCTACTCTGAGCACGCAGAAGAGACTCAGGTCCTGAGGACGAAGCAACTAAGCCAATATATTTACTTGTAGTTACTAATTCACACCATAAACAAACAACTCCAAACACTCCCCAAGCCTGCTGAAGAGCTATTATTTCAGAGAATTTTGATTGATAGAAAAGCCTGAGAGAAGTACATAGAATTTCCCCTGGAATATTAACTTAATCCAGCAGAAAACCCTCATTCTGAGCATGCCAACATACCAGACCACACCACCTAGTCTGCTTTACAGAATTTCTGTTTGCACTTTGGTGTTAGCATTAGTTACCACGTCTTCATAAAACTCCTTTCATTTTCAGCTTCTAGAGATCCCCTTCCTGCATGACCACATTAGCCAATCAGTGATTTCTGAAATCGCTTTGGCAGCCCCTCAAAAATTGGCTGCCTTCACCATGAAAAACCTACCTTGGAAGAACCCAGGAGCTGAAAACAAGCCTAAATGCACTGAACAGTTCAGAGCGCTTCGCCCAGGCTCAGTTTGTCACAGGTCTGCATGACACCGACTAGTTTTCTGACCAAGGGCATCATGCACAACACTCGTCCCCACCAAAAATGGGACGGCCCCTGCCACTCTCCCTCTTAAACCTCCACTTCTCAAGTCACTTACCCCAATACGATCAATTCACCATATTTTACTGGTGCTTTTGATGGATGATTTTCTTGATCAGGAGAAAACATGAGCTTAGTTAATGACTTCTTCTCAAATTTCAGGTCTCTGATCAAGAGCTGTGGCACGCTTTTTTCATTATTTCCTGTAAAAACAAAGACAAAACACATTGTAACAGAGAAGACTCAGATTATCTGCTCTGCAGATCTCCAACCTATCTTTCAGCTTTCCTGATACAATAGCTACATTTTGTACTTGCTATTTTCTCACGCTTTGACTCTTCCTGAACTCATTAAGAACACTACGTATAAAACATGATAATTTAGTGTGCATTAACCGGAACAACACGAGCACAAAAACATACAAGTGCATCTAGAGAACCTCAAATAATCTTGATGAAACATCCATACTTGTTTTCATTCATGCTAATTGTTTATTATAAATGGTATGCAGCTTAATTCAGCATGTTGGTGTCATTACTGAGAGAAAGACAGAGAGGGATCAGATTTAAAGGAATAAAAACCCACTACAAGACCAGGCCATTAGCCCAAGAGACAGAACATTTTTTTGTGGAACTGATTCAAAGCCTTCAAAGCTCTGGATTTGCAGATACTGAGCAACTTGATACTGAGCCTATCACACAAGTTGGTGTAAACACAGACAAAAAGAACTTTGAACTACATTTCCAGTGACAATTCTGATTTTTTAAAAATAATAATTTCAGTTAGTCTTTTTCATGTGCTCACATAAGGACAGAGAAAATGCAGAAAAAGGAAGTGAGAATGGTCTCTTGAAGCCCAATTTTTGTAGTCTTTTTGGTTTAAGGAACCATTCACACTAGAATTCTTCCCAGCTCTTATATCAGTTCCTCCTTGGTAGCCTTCCCAAAGTCATCTCTGGCCCTCCCAGACAGGAACACTACCAACAAGCACTTGTTCAATAAAGGCTAAGCTGATACTAGCCCGTTTAAACCTTTCCTTTAACAGGAACAACCCCATGTTTCTTCCATGTAAGTTCTCACACCAACTCCAAAAGCTACTAAATGTTTTGATTCATCACTTTCAGAACGGACCATTAGCATCTGCTGCCTTCTGTTCAATTAAACACACTGGTGCACACGATATTTCTTGTAGCCTGTGCATTTAAGCATCTTACTGTCCTCTCCAACCTCACCTAGACTTTAGATATTAGCAGAAATTATATCATATAGATTTTCCTCTATGCACATCTCACGTTTTAATGACATAAGATGATGTGTTGGTATGTGACATAAGCACTCCTACCTTGCTTACATTCATTCAGAAGTTGAGGCAAATGACACTTTTCCTGACCCGATTTTGCCTCTTCCCCATCCCAGGGGAGCTGGGACTTCAGCATCTGGGATGCTCAACTGAATCCTGCATTTAGCAGGTGCACAAAATGCCTTATACTGGTAATATTGTCCCCTTGTGTTGCTCAGGAATGGCAACAACAGCACAGAAGAGTATAAATGGGTATAGTTTGCTCTGAAGCATTCCTCGACTGTCGGTTTATATGCAGCAGTGAATTAACTCAAATGGGTCAAGGTACTTACTCCTGCAGGTGGGCCAAAGGTTTTCCAAGAAAAGTGGCAACTCCCAAGTCCCTTAATATAGAGCCAGCTTATTATCACAGCTCAGCAAGTTTTCCCTTTAAACTTCTGAAGTGAAACATTTCAAGGTAGTTTATCAGATGAAACTTGGGTTGGGAAACTCCTACTCACAGCAGTAGTCAGAACACATCAAAGGGGAGATGGGCCCCGTGATAGAGGGAGCCCCGGGACACGGCTCGGGCTTGCAGACTGCTCTCCCCTTGCTGTCCCCCGCCAACTGGGGCCTTCTTGGCTTCTTTGCCCCATAAGAGCAGCCCCCAAAGCCAGGCACGTGCTGGCAAAGACACTACAGGGGCCGCATTCTGGCAGTGACACCACAGCAGCGCGCTCCGAGTTGTTAAGAAAACTTCCTTAGCAACATCTCTGCTGTCTACAAGCACAACGATATATTCCTACCGTCTATAAAGTTAAGTATTTCCCCAACCAACTCAGCGTTTCTTGTTTTGTTTCAATTGTTCCTGCAAGTGTGTACTAGCAAAACTAGAAAAAAAAATCGCATCTATATGAAGTTGCTTACATGCGGTCTTTTAAAACACCCTGATGTTTCCATCTGCTCCTGAAATGATTAACCCATTTCCCCTTGCACACTGATCTCAGCTACTGCATGTGACATGCAACACCTCCCAGGTGCTGCCTACCGCAGCCACGGGCTCTCCGTTGACCTGGCACCCAACCGCTGCTGGGAAGCCCCGCAACGGGACGGCACGGGGCCACCAACCGCATCGCAGGGCAAAGAAAGAAGAAGATTTAAGCAACACCCACCCTATCTTATGGTGTTCAGAAAGGGAATACTCGCTGCGAGCAGGTGGCAAGACAAAACCCTTAAAATGACTTAGTATTTGCCATTAGTATGACAATGGTCTGTCATAACCTCTCCTCTGTTCATCCAGGGAATAAATTTCATTGAAAGCCAAAAAGATAAATCTCCTGATCACAGAGTCAGCTTCTAAGTCTCATTAGGAGTAATTACACGCAAACAATTATGGGACACTCCTTTAACAAATTACCCCCACAGGTGGCTACTACCTTCTTGACCAGCACAGCTGAGCAGAAACCAAAGAAGGAGCCAGCAGACTCAGGTGACACTTCAGTAGTTCTAACAGTTAACTAGAAAAAAAAAATCAATTCCAGAAAAAACTGCTAAGGCTCAGCTCCTCTAACACATTTTTGTTGCTGTTTCATAATTGGAGAAATGCAGTCAACTTTATTTTGGAAGCCGCACAAATGAAAACCCACTTATTTCACCCAAGGATGCCTCAAGAATAAGAAAACCAGAGATATCATTAGTAGCAAGCCCTGCTTTGCCCTCAAAAGCGTACCTTGAACATTCCAATTTCTTCTTGGTGTGCCTCAGCCTTGGAGCTGCACACATTACCTTTGCAAAGAGAAACGCCTATACCTTGAACTCAAGCACATCCTAAATTCAGCGCACCTACAAAATTCCATGCATCAGATATGCTACTTCTCACACCCCCGATCTGCTTGCTGTATTATACCCAAAGGGAAACCTCATTCTGGTTTGTCCCAAAAACTAGTCCAACGGAAACCTGATGCCAGTGAATAGAACCCAAATGTTCTTCCATGCAGAGAAGTCTAAGCAGGTCGCAGGATAACATCTCTACTCCTGAGCTAGAGAGGACTTAGATTCATTTAAAGCCAGATAAAAAAAAAGAAGAATTTAAAAAGGGAATTCTCCTGAGATGTCAGGAAAGACACACTGCAGTTACACAATGGCTCTTCTCCTGTTGGTATAGAAAAACCTGTCCACATGGTACTCTTATTTTTAAAGCCACTGAAAACTCCTTAAGGAGTTCAGAAAGGCTATTGAAGTAAGTTAAAGGACTGAACGTGGCACTGCAAGGCCAGGGGAGAACTAGGCCACTGACTGCTTGAACAAAATATGTGCAAGTTAACTTTTTGTCGTGACCATTAATTTTGTAGCAGCGGCTCAGGCCACAGCTGGACTAGGGCTTCATTGAAGTAGGCTCTGAACACCACAGACTGTTCCAAAACTCCTCCAAGGCTCTTTTCATCACTGATGAGGAATAAGGTAATTACAGCATCCCAGCCTTGTCCTACATTCTTCCAAAATCACACAACTTGCTGCAGCAGACGCAATTTTCACCTCAAGAGCTCTGCTTCTTGGTTGGAGAAGGAAAAGTCTGAAACCCCATGTCTGTGCAGAGTCCTGCGTTGCTCTGGAGAGCAAAGCAACCTGCAAACAGAGAATAGTTTCTAAACCATTCCTGAATTGGTTGGAGGTGCTGTTCAGGGAGCAGGACTGCCTGCAGTTAACACACACTGCGAGGGGCACTAATTAGCCTCCTTCGATTGCAAAATAGGAAGCTGGAATACAAAGAGAACCTCGTTCCTTTGGAGCCCAGAGAAAAATGATGGAAGGTAACTAGCACAGTACTGTCATGTGTAAGGAAGGGAATGGAAACAGATGACATCTAAACTGAAAAAAGGCATTTTAAATTCATGTAGGAAGGGCAATATGGGTTTCTTACAAGTCTTTTTTCTTCCTAAATGGTCCATTGAGTCACAAAAGGCCAAGACTGCTACAGCAGAAAGCAAAGCACATTCCCTATTGCCTTCGAGTAGGAACAGCCACACAGATCACTGCTCTCCCTGCCATCACGCCCAATCTCTGGATTTGGGGGCACTGTTTCCTGGGACGAGCAAACCACATGTTGTTACAGCCTGCAATAAAAAAGGACTAACACTCACTGCCTAACTTTTGTTCTCAATCATTCAACTATCTTTCCTGATAAGAAGCGGCATTTACCATGGAGCTCTTGTGGTTTCTATGGAGAGTCTTTGGAGTTTATTTGTACTGGGGCACAGCACCTCCTGGCATTAATAAGTTAGCTATTTAGCAGCCTAAATGCAGCTTTCAGAAATGCAACTAGAGGAGCAGTATCTTAAGGGTTAAAATGGTGCAGGGGGGAAGGGAACTTTAAATTCAATGAGTTCCAGCAGAGATTCATTAAACACTACTGTGCGCTAAAAATACTAGAATAAAAGTCTCTTTGTAATAAATTACCATCATTTTCTAAACACAGAGCCAGCATTATAGGCTGCTAGCAACTGCAGCTAGTGCCAGACTAGCCCTTTTCTAAAATACTGCATTAAAAAACACTTCCACTGTATAAAAAGAAGTCCTCTGTCAGTGAGTAAATTAAAATAAAAATATGCTGATTCAAATGCAAAAAAGTGCATTTTTCCATTTTTATATTATCATCTGCTGTATATTCTAGAGCTGTATATTGCAAGGCCTGGGATTTTTGTTTTATATGAAAAAGCGGAATGCAGCTTCTCTTTTTTGGAGCACAATTTGCTGTTTGCCGTTCTGTGTTTATAAGCCTTGCAGTTCTCCTACCCAGCTCCTTCCCTCAGTGATTCTGTAGTAACTCCAAGGGGTACAGATGAAATGGAGCCCCACTCTTGTCAGAGACATGGAACGACAGGGCAAGAGGCAACAGAAACCGCAACACAAAACTGATTAGCTGCTA